AGAAGAAAAATAGGCTTAGCAAAATTACTAATCCAACGTTAAATTCACTTAGGTTGGTAGTGACGGAATTTATGGCTCAGGTTGCTATGATGGCTTTTATTATTTCTTTAATTAGGGACATAATAAATATTTTATGTGAATTTTACAAGATATTATTTTACCTCCTTATTATCCCCTAGTTTTAAACCTTTACTCTGCTTAATCAACATCCAAGCCAAAGCCACTAAACTACCTAAACATAAGACCCCGAGACCACAATTTAAGTATCTCGCACTTTTTTTATCGTTAATTTCACTTTCTAATTTACTTTTGAAGGCTTGGCTTTGCAGGGTGGCTAATTCTTGGTAAGAACTAGCGCTGGCTAATTGCTGGCTGGTTAAACCGAATTCTTTGCTGATTTCCACGATTTCTTTTTTTACCGCTTCACTAACTTTTATCTCCTTTAAGGATTGCGGAGTTTGTAATTTAGTTATTTGCTGCTCCAATTCGCTAATTTTGTCGGTTGGCGGATTGATTTTTTGCTTAATTTCCGTGATTACTGCCTCTAATAAATTCTCTCTCTCTCTCTCTCTCTCTCTGTTGCTAGCCCGCAATCAGTAATGATTTTAGTAAGTATTTCAGTTTCTTTGGCTTTAACTTTGCTATCACAATCGCATTTGTGGTTATCTTTATCAGTTTTTAATTGGTCTCGTTCTTGCTTAATGGCGTCATAATCAGTATGGGAGCAAGAAGGAGAATTATTGAGCAAATTATCCAATTCACTATCGCTAACTTTACCGTTTAGTTTGGTGTGAATGCGGTCATAGTGGTCGGCTTTGGTTTTTAATTGGATAACTGTTTGGGTGCCACTTTTGGAGTTATAAAGGTCGGATAAATCATTTAAATTATCGGGTAAAGGGTCAATGGGGTTTAGTTCTAATACTTGCCTAAATCCATTTTGGTAATCGTTTAAAATAGTCAAATTAGCCTTAATAATAGTTATCAGACCATCATTTACTTTATTATCATTACCAATCAAAGCCACACCTCCATTATTGATATTAGCGGTTTTTAATTTAGCAAATTCACCTTTAATCTCTTTTAACTCTTTGGCTTGGGTTTTGGCTTGGTTCAAATTAGAAGCCGTTCCTTTATTAATTATTCCGTCATTACCCATTGTTAAAATATCAGTCTCTTTTAAAATACTAGCTAGGTGAGTATACCACACATTTAAATATTTCAGAGTTGCGACGGGCATTTCTGACAACTTACCACCATCCAATTTCGTATCCAACTCCGTTTCAATGTCTACTCCTAATTTGGCATTAGCCTCCTCAACAACTTTTTCTAATTTGGCGACTTCCCTGGCTAACATTATACCATGTTCGTCACCCTCACCTCTTTCAAGTAAATAAAGAAATTGAAAATCCGGAGTGTTGTCCGCTTGGGCTTTTTTGTCCTCTATATCATTTATAATAGCGTCCAGGACTTGAAAAAAAGCCTCAATTTTCTCTTGTTGATTCAACTTGTTTTCTCAATCAGTTTCGGTTAGGTCAGCCGTAGCAAGCCCCACCTCAGTTAGCAAACTATTTATTTTTTTTATTCAGAATTCCTTAACTTTTTCGTATTTTGCCATGGCTACTTAGGATATTTATTGAAGTATTTTAGACTGTTTTTTTTTTTTTTTGCTAAAAAAAGGCTAGTCTAGGTATATTTTACTTATTTCATAAGTAAGAGCCGAAAATAGGACTAAAAAAACGCCACAATCCTCCCCAGTCCCCTTTCGAAATCACCAAAATTATAGGTAAGAAAAAAATCTGATAATCCTCTCCTAATGGTTCATTATGTGGGAATTAAAACCAAAATTAGGGTAAAAACATTCTTAATCCATACCAAACAAGCAAGGTTGAGTGTCAGAAAGGTTGGAATTAAAATTAGAA